AACGGTGCATAGCATGTAACATACAACTTACAACATTTCACCTGCACTAGATCACAGATATCATGTAACAAATAAAATGTGCCTATACCTTGTAAATTCGAACATAATGTATGATGGAATAGAACAACGAAGCGCAAGACGCCAGACAGTACAAAGAACGCATAGCACAACATCAAGTACTATCATATAGTACTACGACAGTACAATATATCATTATAAACTTTAACTCAGTTTATAATACAAGTTAGGAGACACTATGCAATACATCATACATTGTAGAACGTAGCAAGAGTCCATAGTGTGTACTATTTCATCTCTAATGTATAGCACGGTACGTATAACACATTTTTCGTCATAACAGATAGCAGGCAGTATAACAGACAGGATTTAGCATATACGTCTAAGAACTGTTCCAGTGTTCACCACTGCATCTTGATGTTTTGGGCATACTAAGCTATTAATTATTTGGTTCGGTTGTGTCATGATGTATAAGCAGTTCTTCAGTTGCTTATATGTAGTTATATGTGTATACATCTCTAATATATCTGATAGCATATACGTGTGGGCATATGTACACATCTACTTATGTATATATGTATACATGTGTACATGTTTATATAGCTATGGGCGTACAAAGGAGTTATATCTCTCTCGTTTTTCAAGCATGTTTGTGTGTACATGAAAGCTTTTCCATGCTGTTATACATTGACTGACAATTCTTGGCCCTTGTGTTAGTGCATACATTTGTATATCTTTATACATATACATATCTGCACAGCATTTTGGTGTTTGTATCAATACTAGTATTTACTCATATTTGGTTCAGTGGTTATGTATGTTATGCATGTGATGATAATTTTATCCCCGTGATGTTTGTTTGAAAAAGATACGACTACTTAATACACGATGCATTTGAGATTCGCCAGTTGAACATTCTATAGATGAAACGAAGTTTGGTTATAGCAGCGATAAAGAAAACTAAAGATAAAACGCCTGTTGGTAGTAGGTTGTCCGCCAATTGCTGCAACATTTGTTTGTTTTGGAACTACATAGTACAGCGCTTTCGTGATTTATCCAAAAGATTTTTAACGAATAAGTCAACCGAAAAAGCTTGATTGGTTAGTTGCAGTTTCAGCTTTCTATTTACGAAGTAGCTCAACGATGAGTCATACACATACACATATCTATGTGCGCCTAAACCTGTTGAAATATTGGTTTAAACGAGTTAATTGATTCATGACCCGACTTGACTAAGTCATTGTCATAATTATTGCCCTGGTTGCACGCCTAAAATATGATCACCAACATGTTAAGACACTCCATTTTCTTATCTGAGAACTAGTTACCGGAAGTATCTGTGCATTGGTACGAACCCAAGAGAACTCCTTATAAATAAATAAATAAATATATATATATATATATATACACATATATTTGTGTCATGGAAGCACGATAACAACTCTGAAACATAACAGGACATGTAACCTGTATTCTTTCAGGAACTGCGTCCCACAATGTAGTCGCGGAGCAGCCGCTGCGCATTGATAGGAGGTTCGCGTCGGGACATGGTGCTAAGGACGTATACGTTTACCATTGCCTATGCCGCACATGGCTCAAACGGGTAAGCATCTTACACTGTGCTGAGGTTTCTTCCTTTCTATGAGACCGATGTGAAGCAATAGGCAGTTATCCCAACCTTTTCGAAACACATGAAAAGACAAACTGAAGACAACACAAAACTTACAAAACAAAGAGAATCAAAATTTCAATATAACAAGAACAAACTTGAACCAAAGAAACCAACACCACCCAGGACAACAAGAACACCGAAACCAAAAAGAACAGCAAGCAGCAGCAAAAAACAACCCCAGTAAACCCAACAATATTTTTGCAAGAGTTTCTAGATTTGTTTTTTGGTTTTGTGTGTGTTGGTTTCTTTGTGGTTGTGTTTTCCCCGAAACCTGAACCCTTAAACATGAACCCTTCGTTTCTGGGGCTTCTTGACATGCACGTCGGGCTCCATGTCGCGTGACTGAGGATGTGCATAAAGTGTGAAAACGCAAGGGCGATGTTCACCCCTCGAGCCAAACAGTACTATGTAATTCGCCATACAAAAGACAATATATGTAGCTATACTGATAGTATACTATATGTATATGAAAATTTTACTCAAAAAATATACTCAACATGTATTTCCTACTATGTGTTTATATTATATATATACATACTAAAGCACTGTGCAACATGTTTTAGTATATTAGCATGTAGTACGATGCGATACAGGATAGTACATTATAGCACAACGCAATATACCAATATCATAAAGTACAATGTAATGTACTAGGACAGATTAAACTATAACAGTAAACTAACAAAAATGAGAGTACGCATGAGAATAAGAATAAGAGGACGACGCGTAATTTTGCAATAATTCACTAGTACATTATATAGGCAGAAACAAGATGTGTAAATAATGAACTGTTAAGCTTATTAAGATGAGCATACTGAATAGTACAAGAACAAGATACTGCAGCAGTATAACAGTATAAGAGTATGATAGTACAATAGTGCAACATGTCATGTACTCTCTCTGTCTCTCTATCTCAAAATATGGTAGGAAAAATAACAGCCATTATGGATAATATATGTTTATTACTATACCATATCAGGTTATATCATGTTTACTATTTTGTGGTTATTACATAATATACCCGGTTTTATACAACAAGCATGAACAAGCTATGTTGTACCATGTATTACGGTACCTTTTGTTCTATGTATTTCACAGTTAGGGTGTACATATATATATATATATACACCATGTATAATGTAATGTAAAACAGTATAACACAAGCCTAATACAACATGACATAGTATGATACAAGATAAGGTACTGCAATATAACATAATACAATGTCATGCCCGATAGCACATTTATTCTTTCTGTCCCAGTACAATATTACCTAATGGAAGGTAATCTTATATAACATATTAATATACTACATTGTAACACAGTGTGGTACGGTTTCTTGCAGACATGTGCATGGATATGTATGCGTGTGGATAAAGTTCTTGCGAGCTCATGACAGCTTTCCGTGATCACCAAGAGCAAAGCTTGTACACCCTGGACCAAGATCTCGACGGTTCGGCGGACGATCCGGATCTGGAGGAGAGAGAGGAGCGACCAGGGCCTGCAGCTCGGGGTCTCTCAGGGCTTTGAGGCTTGGGGATTTGAAACATTTCAGGATACCGGGGGGGTTGTGGGTTGTGGTGGTGCTACGAACGGTGGTTATCTCAGTCGTCGTCGGCGGCCACTGAGGCGGCGGCAGCCGGATACGATCACACCTAAGTGGTGACCACATCGCGGGGCCAGCGGAAAGGATGCCAACAGTGACCACCGCACTGACCAGACAACCGCGAGCCGTCGCCGCCAGCACTCATCCGCCGAGCAACAGCACCAGCACCAGCGCAAGCAAGCCAGCACCCGCACCACCACCATCTCCACCAGCACCAACAGCAACAGAGCCACTGTAGCCGAATTTCCAGGCTTCAGGCATCAGCCACACCAGTGCTTTTTGCGCGTGCTGAGGCTGATTCCTGTGAAGCCCACCTTCTGCCTCGAGCTTCCTGGCGACTTGGTGGCTGAGTCGTGTTCCAGTAATACGAGTTATATGAATCGCAACGCATAGGATCATAACGGCATTCTTTTTTGATAATCCATCGAGCTGTGTAGCTTTTCCCTTGCCGTCCTGACGCTCACTGGTGGCTTGGGAATGCTTGGGACACGTGGAAGGGTCCAAAGTCTAGGTTACAGATGCCACCTACGTAGTTCGCAAACCCTCGCTGAATCTGAACATGACAATGATGTGAAGAGGCCGGGCGCGCAAGGTACGTGCAAGCGCGGGCCAAGGGAAAGCGCAGGGTCTGGAGCCAGGGATGTCCTGGAATACATTCAAATTTCAGAACTGTCCGGGCGCGCAAGGGGGCGGGCCAGGGCCGTGCAAGCTTGGACCAAGGGCAGAACTCGGATAAAGGAATGCGTATTGGACAACGCCCAATTGGTTGCCAACCCAGTGTTGAAATGAGGCCTTGAAGTTACGCAAATCGGCCTTCAAGCTCCAGAAGTCGCCTAGTGCTTCGAGGACATGTCCTTCAGTAAACTCCCACTTTGACTTTGCTGCCTGGCCGCGAGTGCTTCTAAGGACACGTCCCCAAGGGCATCACCACGAAGCCGCGAGAGGACTGGAACGTCGACCCATATGCCAGGGCCCTGTCAGCTAATTCCAAGGCTTCATTTCACTGGGAAATACGAGAGGATATCATAGTACGGAAGCCCGAATAAGTAGTACTACTATTCTCTGAGGTTCCTCAGTGGTATTGTGCTATGGTATTCCCCCAAACTTGATTCTAATCGTTAAGGCTTCGACTTGCCTCGCGAGACAAGATAGTGGCTGATCCGATGGCTTTGCTGCCTTCAGGCTTCAGTTTGCGCGTAAAGTCGGAACACAAACCAGCTGTGTGTGTGCGCCAAGTTTTTCGCGATTCTGCGTAGTCCTGCGACATAATGTTAAGTTCTTCGCAAAAGCCTCACCCCTCCCCGCCGATTCCCCCGTTAGTTGATTCTAAGCACCGACCCGACCGCTTTTGAGGGGGAGGCCCCAGGAAAAAGGCAGTCCGAAGCTCTCAAGTGCTCTCTGTGACTACTGTCTCTCTGCAGATTCCTTGCGTCTGCTCTTGGCAGAAGCAGATAACAACAACCGACTTCAAACATTTGGGACTTTCGGAATATGTTTTAGTTGAAGCGGGTTTAGTGTTGAATTTACGGCCTCGTTGTCCCTTTTTACTTGAGGCGGGGGCGGTTTATAATGAAGGACTTAGCATTTCATCTGAGCTGGGCTGACCTAAAGTTTGGATCCCAAAAAGTAAACCAGACATTGGCCCAGCCATAGCGGGCGGTCTCTTGGCCCACCCCACGCCCAGCCTCAGCGCCCTGATTCTCTGAAGCCCTGGCAACGATGGCCTAGTGTAATTTCACACTGAAAACCCTCGTCACTCGTGTCAACAGTAAACCCTTCTAGCGCAATTCAGACCCGAAACACCCAAACCCTAAACCCTTAAATGTCTGAGTTCTGGATCGACGGCACCAAGTACGAAGTCATCGGTAAGGTCGGAAGCGGTTCCTTCGGAACCGTTCATCAGGCCCTTTCAGGGTTTCGTGCGCTAGGGTTTTTCAGGGTTGAGGGTTCAGGGGGGATTTCGACATTCACCGATGGCACAGGGTTTAGTTCAGATTCTTTCACCCGAGGCCAGTGGCATATTTCGGCTTGCCGCCGTACAGGATAACTGTGGTTGGGGTTATTCCGGAAAGGATAGGCGTGGGAAGGACAACAGATGGAAAGGGTGGGTGTCATGCAGACGGCAGGGCAGCGGAATTTCTTACAGGGTAGGTGCAGCAGGCAGAACTGCTAGTGCCACTACTGCATGATTCCCATCAGCTCTCCGTCTTCGTTTTCATTATGACCACTACTGCTATTACTACGACGATTGCTGCTGCTTCTGCTATTGCTAGCTTCAAGTCTTCCGCACAAGCGACTATGTCAATACGCACATCACCTCGCGGTCAAGATGACTAGCATTGTGGTCTCGACCCATTAGTCTTTGTCTAGATACTGTTACTGGGGCGAACCTACATGTACAACATACATAGACTACATACCTCCTCATATACATATACACACACTTGCCTCTCTCTCTATATATATATACATATATACACGCATATTTCTTTGTAACTATGTTTCTATTCGTAGCGTCGTACTCCTGTATCCTGGTGGGGGGTTTTTGGAAATCAGCTGTTGGGCAATCTCGTGTCAAGTTTGTGCTGCCAAGCACTCACGGCAATCGCCCCATGAGTGCGATGGGTGGTGGTAGTGAGCTGGTAGTGACCAGTGGCACTACCAGCCGTATCCCGCCAGAACAAGTATTTTAGACCCCTGATGCATTTTGTCCTGATTTTGGGCACCACTAGCAGGATCCCATCGAAAGTATTTGTTAATGGCTCCAAGGGTTTAACTTGGTTATCTTGGTCTGGATGGAGGCTTTGGAGCTGGTCGACGCCGAGAAAAACATCCGGAAGGAGCAGCGGGCTCAGCTGGAAGTTCGCGAAGAAGCTCGCGAAAGTTGAAAACTGGATCGGGTGTGATCGGGCTTGGGGTTGCGGGCTTTGGGTTTCGGGGGGTTATGGGTTTTAGGGCCTGGGGTTTAGGCGACGGAGAATGACATGTGCCACGGAAAAGGTTGGGGTGCCACATTTGTCCACTGCCCTAGTCTGGAAGTCGGATGCATTGCAAGCCTTCATTGTCCCGCTGCAGCTGCACCTCCGGGCAATTGCCGCACTGCCCATAGGCCCCAAAGTAGTTCCTTTTTGGGATTACCTAATAGGATTCTAAATATGAAGCCCAAAAAGGAACTACTTTAGGGCCTTAGGGTAGTTTCCGGAAGACCAAAACTCCCGGATGGTTCCCGCGGCTCCAAGGAACTTCATCCCTGTCGCTGTGAAGCGCAGTTCTCCTCAGAAGCCAGCCGCGCTCTCAAAGAGAAGCCAGAGATCCAAGCCTCTAAAATACTAAAGCTTAATAAAATACGGTTTACTAAGATATAATTTAATAAATATAATCTAATATAGTAGAGTATCGTAGAGTTTAGTACAATATAAGCAGTAGTAGGCAGTTTGGCGTGGTGGAGCGTGGAGCTGAAGGTAGGCAGTCTCGCAAGTTGATCCGAACTATCCGGAGCCAGAGTCGGAGTCTTTCAGTAACATCGGGGCCTAAAATGATTAGCTATGCTATTTTGGGGGTCCTCTTGTTTTTTGTAGAAGACCCCTTACGCCAAGTAAGTTACCAGCCAGATTCGGCACAGATGTTCCACATTGGCAAGAGGAGAGTAGGGGGACCAAGGAAAAATTGGTTGTTCTACACGAACAAGTTCATTTGGGAATCACACATGGCTCGTCCCTTTGCTCCTTATGCCAACACAAACCTGCAAAATCAAGAGAACACAGTCAACCGCCATTTTTAAAGCCGCCCCACGTACGTGCCCACGGTCTCACCATCATGCCAAGAGAGACAGGAGACTATGGCTATCAAAAGTGCCCGATTCTATTTGTTAAGGCCCCTATATTAGTCGGATTCTCAACCCGCAACGTCCGCGAGGTTCTATGTTTGCCCTCCTCTTGGAACTCTACCTAGTCGCTTTCTGTCTCGCTGTTCTCTGTGTGCTGGGGTGCTTCTTTGTTGAAGCTTGTCATCAGAACTTTCGATTCCCAGAGTACACCACCTCAAACCATGACGATGACGTCTGCGGTACAACCGTGGCTGGGGGTCAATGCTGCGAAACACGCAATCTCAAAGCTCGAACGGATGGGCCGAAAATCTTTGGCAGATGGGACGTAAGCGTTTGTAATGCCGAAAGCGAGCAACACTGCGATTTCTGGGGCATTCGCGTCGTCCTTCAGGGCAAAAGTCAAAGCCCAGCCAAAAGATCTGTTCTTGCCCCTGGCAGTTCGACTCTCTGCTGATTCTGCGAACCCGCGAAAATCGAACAACATGTAATTATGCGCCGAATAGATTGTATTCGCAGTTCTTATCCATGATAGCACCCGATCCTCAGTTTCCTAATATGATCGGGCAAGAACCTTCGAATTCGCACTTTCGGTAGGCACAGCTCGAGGCATATCTAGTTCTCGTCCAACTGGAAGTTACCTGCGAGTCCCCTCAGCATCTTTCGCCCAGAATAGAAAGCTAAGCGCTATTCAGAGGGGTCCCACCTCACCGCAGCCTAGCAGCTACACCGTCTCAGGAGATTTTGGAGGCTGCTCTCTTGGAAGCAAAGGCAGGAGATCCGTGTCCGCATGTAAGCATCTAGCCCTGTGATGAAGCTCTGATGCAGCCCAGCCGACCCAGAAAAGACGGCCAAGAGCTCCTTTAGTCGCGGCAAGGACTAAAGGAAGATGTCAACCGAGAGGCATATGTTACTTGTACTAGACTCTAACTAACGGCTTGGGGTTTGGAGGTGCCAAGCAGGCTGCACGAGAAACTCAAAAAGCTGAAAGTTCTTCTCCTGAACCCTAAACCCCATCACCGCATCCTTCAACCTCGCAACAGGTAGACTCCGACGGCTGTAGTTACTTTCTGACCAGATCTGAATTTGCGTATTTTGTGGATTTTCTGATCTGTAGAGCAACCCATTGCGGACAACCATGCTTAGCACCCTGCCTGGACTCTTTAAAGCCATCCAATTCGTGTTCAGGAACCGTCGTTGAGTGAGCTTAGCTTCATTAACTTAGGGATGCTTCGCTACAAGGTGTCCGATGATCAGAGTCGGGATTTGTGCATTTTGCTGATAACTGTGTCGGATTGGAAAGGGGGTGTTTTTCAGCTTTACACCCTAAACGCTGAACCCAAACCTGGTGGACCGATTCGCCCGGCCTATGCCGGCAGATGGATAATTCCAGATGGAGAAGGGATCGAACAAAAAGAAAACCCAAACCCCAAACCCTCGGAGCCTCCAAGAAGCCCCATGATACCTATGAGCCCTAACCCTCGGATTGCCAGATCCTCCAAAAGATGGCAGACCCCTCCTTCGACGGACTCCTGCCGAGGCAACATCTTATCTGGACCCGCTGAGGGTTCCTTTTAAGGGCTCCTTAGTTTAGGGTTCATTTAATTTAGGGGGTTCTATCAGGGGTTCAGGGTTTACTATACAGGTGTTCTAAGGGTTTTATAGACTGTAAGGGTTCTGCAGGGGGTTCCACTGAAGGGGTTCTACAATGGTTGCATGAAAGTTCTGCATGGGGGTGTATGCGGGTTCTGTAAGGGTAAATGAGGTTTAAATGTTCTAGAGGGTTCTGCAACGGTTCTATAAGGGTGTTACAGCGGTTCTATACGGGTTCTTTCAGGGTTCTCTAGGCTTTTTTTTGTGGTTCTTCAGGGGTTCGAAGAGGAATCTCCGGGGCCCTCGGAGAAGTTGTCTGGCCCAAGAGGGTTTCGGATTTGGGGTCTAGGGTTCAGGGAAGTCTCATGGCACGGCGTTCTTTCGCTGCAACAGGTAGGGGAGTATCCGCAGGTTTGTATCGTACCGAGATTCATGGCGATTGCACTCTGTGACCACCTCACAGAACAGAAGCAGCAAAGGGGAACATGTGCGCGTCTGTGGGACCTGAGCTCTAACTTGTGAGGTATGTCAGCCATGGCGTGATCCCGCCGCCGCCGGGCAGTGACATCAAGAAGCAAGCCGAGGCACCCTTCCTGAGCTTCAAGAGACTTAAGAAGGGGAATCAGGATGACCGCTGTAGTGATGGCTTTTTGGGGTCCGGCTCCGGAGTCTGAACCTGAGCTGGAATCTGAAGGCAGAGGTTCTGACCAGATGTATTTGTGGAGCTGCAATCCGGCTGGCCTCAGGTTGTCCTGGCGATGACAAAGCTACCAGGCATCCCTCTGGATTTTTGGCCCGGATCTTAGTTTTCTTGGAGGCCACGATGCATGGACCGAAAGCCTTGGGGTTCAACAGCTTTGGGGAGGGGGCCTTATCCAGCAATGCTGGCGAGAGAGTGGCAGTTGATGCAGCTTCTGTTGTCTGGGCGCAGCCAGTGTCTCTGCCATGCACGTGTCATTGTCAGTGAATATCATGACTACTAGTGTACCATGATGGTGTCGACTGATAACTGCGGTGACGACGTTTGATTCACACTGCTGTTGTTGTCGTCGTTGATATTGCTGTTGATGATGATGCTTGCGAGTGTGTCCTTAATGTACACGGAAAGATTGGTAATCGTAGTGGTAATGACGCTGAATTTGAGATAGTCTAACTAAATGTGATGCACATCTTGTAGGCCTTGATGATGACGGTGATGCTGCCCTTCTCCATGAGATGGTGATGGCGGTGGCGGTGGTGCTAGCAAAGCTAGTAATGAGACTGGTGACGATGAACACGGAGGTGTTGGTATTGGTGATGTCTTCTTCATCGCCACCGTCATCGGGTCCTTATGAGGGGTATTAAGGCCCCCCTCCCCCTTAACTACCCCTGTAAGGGTCCCTGTGACTCGTGCCTGTCAGGATTTACGGCATTGACGAGCAGGCGCTGAAGTCGGTCAGCCGGAGCCTTACGGGGTTTCTGATTAGGGCTCCGTTGTCTAGAGCTTCGTTCTTTGCGCCTGCGCAGCGGTATGTAAGACTATCATTGTATGCACATGAGCTTGTACGCATATATGCGTATGTATGTACATGCATAGGTCATGTATACGTATATATGCATACACACACACACACACACGTATGTTTGTGATGGTGATTGCATAGGCTCCCCTCCACTGGCATCTGCGAATGGCATTGATTTTTTGGGCCAGATGCGGGCAAGATCACGGAGGAACCCCAGACTGCGAGTTTCCACCTGCGAGATTCAACCTAAGCGGCACTTCCCGGAGTCAATGTCCCGGCCTGTAGCATAGACGGTGTCTGAGGCATTCCGAAGATGGTCGATGGGGACCTGCCCGGTGCTTGCCGCACAAGGACACTCCGAGAATGTGCGGTTCAGGACGTGTCAGGACATGCTCAGAGCCTTGTGTGGAGAAGCCGAAGAACTCAAAGCAAGAACCCGACGCTCCATCGCGCTCCCAAGAGACTTGAACGGATCACGGTCCCTGGAGGCGTCTTGAACATTGCGCCGATATGTGTCTCGCCCTGGCCTCATCATGTGTGTGCACGGGCACCTAAAAGGGGCATCGTTCTTTTATTGATTCCGGGGGGTATCAGATTCTTTTCATGAATAGACACACTGTCTATATCGATTAGCGACGATGTATACATTAAGATCCGTGCAAAAATAGATAGGCAGAAAGACAGGAAGACCGAAATGTCGGTAACTATCGAAAGATAGAAAGGCGGATAGATACACAGAGTTGCACCATTGCAGCGCAGGTACATGAAGCATGGGCCCACAAGCCCATAAAAAGCCGCCAAATTCCAGAACCCTTCTTCTAAACTCTAGGACCCTTATACTAAACTCTACACCCCGAACGCCGTCTCGTACGTTTCAAGAATAAAGCCCCCAAGGATCATTTGGGAAACTAGTATGGCTAGTGATTAGGGTTAGGTTGGTTTTCAGGCGTCTGGGGGTGTTTATGGTCATGAGGGTGAGGAGGGTCTTCATGGTTACGAGAGTTTGGGGAATAGTGCAGGCCTACCCCACGAGTACTGTAGAGGGACATGTAGCAGAGTTCAGGCATATCCGAAAGATCAAGCGGATGTGCAGACGTTTAACCATGCATCTTTGGATGCAGACATATGCACGCGTGTATGTCTACAAGCGCACATGCCTATGTAGGTAGGCAGGTAGGTAGGTGCAGGTAGGTATGTATGTATGCACGTATGTATCATATGCACATTATGCATTTCTGTATGATATGCACACCTGCACATTTTAGATAAAGGCAAGACTTGTGCGTGGCAGTTTTGCTCGGCCCGGGCCGTGCCCCAAGGAACTTCTCAGGACAATGTGTCCTATTTTTTCCACTCTTCGCAAATTTGTCTGCCCGCCTCGTGATTAAGAGATCTCCGGGCCGAGTCCTCATTCTACGTTGTTGCTTCCAGGATTTGGAGGTGCCCTTACTGTGGTAACATGCTCTTCCTTCCCTTGACACGAAACGACCGTGCTAGGGCACGGCCATTCAGACCCCATACCCGAGGAGTGAGGAGGGTATGGGCTGAGCGATGACCCGAAGTTGCAGTGTAGATTCGCCGTGTAGCTGTGGGGGTAAGGACTTCCTGGTTTGGGGTTTGCTTGCGGGCTGGCGCCTGGCTCCTGGCTTGGTTGAGAGTTGGTCTGGGTTTTCCGGTTTTAATTTTGCGGAGCTGAGGGCGTTTTTGAGCAGTCCTGGAAGGTTGAGGCGGAAATCTCAAGGTCTTAGAACTCCGGGGCGACAGGGCCGTTTTCCAGCTAGCTGTGCTCTATCGGAGTGACAATGGTGGGTTTCGATGCTTGACAGAGCTTTGCATAGTTTAGGTTGTGGTTACAAGGGTGTGCTGTACAGAGCACAGAGCTTCGGATGAATAGATCCCAGATCTCCAGCTTGACTAGCTCCTCCTCCTCCGCTTGCCTTGCCGACACCGCGCAGCGCATGCAACTTCGACTGAATCGTGTCAGACTCCGTTCCAAAAGCTGTCCCCCCCACGCCAGGCGTTTCACCGCGATATTTCTGCACATAACTTTCTTATTGCATCTCGCCTGCACTTGTGAGCGTTGGGGTCATGGGTTTTCAGGAGATGTAAGGTGTTTCGTAGCCTAACGCAGCATCTTCTAGCACAGAGTGAGTGACTTCTTGATGACTTTGCAGAGCTGTTGCATTTGTTGAGCTCACGACTTCGGCCACTAACTTCTTGAGCTGTAAACAGGCCACAGGTGTAGGATCACAGTCTAGAGTCTAGAGCCTCCGATGCTCCATTGAAATCCATACAGAAGACAAGCCCAACACTCGCGACCCGAAACCGGAAGCCCCAAACCCACCCAAACCGAAGCCGGAGCCCCTAGGCCTTCATGCACATATGTATGCATACCTGCATGTATGCATGTAAACAGTTACATGTATACACACACACACAAGACTCGCACTTGTATATCCACATACTCATACAGATGCAAGGTGATTGTTGTGCTTTACATGTTCATTTTATTGCCCAAGCTTGGGTCCGGTTCACTCCTCCAGTCGCGGCTACGGATCTGGTAGAGACTCGCCTTCAGGATGATGTGAAAGACAACACAGCCAAGGCTCCGGAAGGGTTTCAGGTTTAGGCTTGCGTTTGTACATATACTCACACATATACAGATACATATATATATATATATACATATGTATATGTATGCATTTCTCTCTCTCTCTCTATATATATACATATATATATATATATGTGTGCACACGCTGAGACTGATGGGACTACGTTTCAAAGGGTTCCTGGATGTGGGCCGCAGTTTGAGCACGCTCCACATGAAGCCCTCTCGTGAGTGAGCATGCCATCCTGCGGCATGTGTCCTGGCGAAGCAGTTTCTAGAGCGCTTCTCGTTTCGAAGCTGTTGCCTGGTACACGTTTTGAGCAGCCATGCACAAGACGGATGCATCTGCCTGCTTCAGTTCGCTGTGCTTGACTTCGGACTGGCTGTGCGCGCCGACAAGTGGCGCCGAGAGTGGGGAGCCGGCTACTCAGGTTTGCCAGTTGTTCATGGGTTTTGCGGGCACATCACTGCAGCTGCTATTGCCCCCGAGGTTTTTGCTCGGGCTAAGTTACTCGCATGCAGTCTTCTGAAACAAGCAGGTTGTTTGCCTGCTGCAGAGAGCACAGGATCGCATTGCGAAGTTGTGGGATCAATAAGTCAGTGGTCATTGACCTCCGAATGCCCAGACTCGCAACATTGCGGGCGACCCGCGTTACTTTGCCCCCGCGGCCTGGATGCAGCTGACCTGTGGCCACAAGCGGCGGCCTGAGCATTTCCGCTAATATCAGTTAATCAACGATAAATCAAAATGTGCAAAGCAGGGTTATATACACGTTGATGTTCATATGCTTGTGGATATGTTGCACATATGTGACATATGTATTCAACAGCTACTTGTAACAGTCAGTAGTGTAACGCGATGTACACTCTCTAGCCTGCCTGCCTGTTCGCCTGCGCAGTGGCAGGTACGTCGCTTGCCATCCAGAGAGCTGTTGGGTGAGCCTGGCACTCGTCTCTCTGCGTTTCAACCATGTCGGCTTTGAGGGATTTGGGATGTAACAAGATCCTACAACAGTTGGGCCCAGCCTGAGCAGACAAACTTGGATTACTGGCAGAAGAGCCCCAAAAACCCACAACAGAACTGCACAGTGGTTTTGTTGAAGAGCCTTGCAACTGGCGTACAGCTGATTTTCACAGCATGTGGGGCTTCACTGTGGGATTGCACCTCCTCTTCGTGGTGGTTCTATGATGACATGTCTCTTGATGAGTGGTGTGCAGGTCTGCCATGGTCTCTGCCCGCCTATGCTTTGGTCTGGCTTCAGATTCGTAATTCGTATCGCCATTCCCGTTGACAACATGGGAGGGTGTGCGAGAAGTCTTCACACTTCTTCACGGGTTCAATGTTAGCCCGCTTCTTCTTCTGAAGCCTTCAGGCTCACACTACATTGCAGCAGCCGACAGCGTTAACATAGGTCCGTTGACCTTTATTACTCTACTACTTGGCTTCCCGATTTCCATCCCAGCCACAAGTGATGCCTCAGAACAATACGCACATCGTCTGGACCACTACTCCTTCGGCATGCTGATGCTGGAGGCAGGATTGCCGCGGTCGCAGGGCTCCACCGAAGGTCTTCCAACGCCTTTCTCTGTCTCGTCCTGTATGCTTGTCATTGATGGCCTGTCACGTCCAGATTTCGTCTGAGTAGCTATGGCGCCAAGTACTCCAAACCCCAGTCCAAGTGTCAGGCTCCGCTCTTGAGGCATTTGGGGGCTGCGGGTCGGATTTGGTTTTCATTTCCTTTTTGGGGGAGTCTTTCTTATCCGGAGGTGTAATACCCGGCGTTGTTTCCCTCAGATGCTGGGCTCCGAGATATCGCAGATGATGTGCGGCCTGCTGCCTCGAGTGTCGGACTTCATTTGTTCAAAGCTGGTTGAAGCGTACCCGAGCTGAGGCAAAGTTCAGACTCGATTCTAGACCATTGAGGCTTCTCTCTTTCTTGCCCTCAGCTGTTAGATTCATGGCACATGCGTGCTGCGTGCCCTTACCATGGTAAAGTGGTATGGGTCTCTTTCAAGTGCCGACCAACCTGCTCAGATTGGCTCAGTCAGGCCGGCATGTCGAGCGCCCTTAAACCTAGAAGCTTGAATAATTACGAATATGGTCCGTAGGGGGGGCTTCCCTATTACGTGTGTGCTGTACTATAAAAGCTCCTAGACCCGTTATAACCAGAACGTTAAAGTTATAGACCCCTTTCAAAGAGCCTTTTTCTCGCTACTTTAAAGGAGCCTTTCTTTCGGAACTCTGCTTTAATCATTAAGGCTCCTATCTTCGCCTTCGCCTCCACCGATTCTACCCTCTCCGCTCTCTTGCTCAGATGCTCTTCGCGCTCTGGAAGGGCCCGGAGGCCGGTCCTTCGTTCCTCCCACGGCGCTAAACGGATCCTCTAGCCTGTTTTTAGGGCTTCGGATTTCGGGTTGGAAGGCCTAAATCCTAAAATCCGCAGCCTGAGTTCTTCTGAGTGCGAGCAGAGAGATTAAGATTCCGTGGCTGCGCACCCCCGTCTTGCTTTGTCTCAGCCTCTCCTTACCGGGCAGGTTGATGAAGAGGACTGGGCCCAAAGTGGCGAACTTTCGGACCAGGTAAAATCCTGGAGGCCTTGCAGGGATGACGGGATGAGTGATGGCCTCTCTGGGAGACCCTGTAAGAGGGATATCGGTTCCAAGGGGTTCACCTCGCGCCTGCGGTTTGACGCTTTATGCATACCGTTGGTCATATTGTTTTGCCAAGAGCAGCCGTTGGTTGTGCCAAAAATGTGCCTATGTATATGAATACATACTGTGTTTTTGTTCATTACATCTGAGAGTATATATGTGTGGATATATGTATACGTGTATACAGTATACATGTTTATATGAATGTGCTCGTATGTACATATGTATATATGTATACACATGCGTATACATGTATACGGTGACATGCATATATGTAAGGACGGATGTGTGTATACGGAAACATGTACATTATTGAGGGGGGGGGGTCCAAAAACTCCCATAAAGCTGAGAGTTTTTGTTTGGTTGCCGGCCTGCTCTCAAGCTTTGACAGGTCCTCCTTTCTGACAACACGCTCGGCCCGGGTCCTCAGCAGCACTGAAAGCCAGAGAAAGGTTTACTATGCATTGCTACAGAGTCGCTGTAACTGCAAGTACTTACTTTAGGGGTTCCTATAAATTTTACCATGTGGTTTCCGGAAGGGGTTGCCATAAGGTTTGCTACACAGGTTATTGAAAGGAATCAAGTTTGCCCCCTCGCGCCTGGAAAGGCTTGGAAAGCCTGGTGGAAGACGTGTGTGCGCCTTTTCCAATCCTTCCACAACGGAGGAGACCCGGGGCAAAAGCAGTGGATCCTATCGCTCCCGATGCCTGTCATCCGCTGCTTCGTAGCAAACATGGATGGGGTCGGGTCGGAATAAGTATGCATGTATCCCCTTATGCTCCTGATTAAAGTATAGTACAATGTATACCGAAACCCCGTTCTAATTTTTCAGGACCCTAGGTCTTCTACATACAGGCGTGCAAACGCAGACCGCCAAGAAGTCGGAGCAACAGTCACTGAAAACAGGGTTTAGTAGGCTTTCAGGGTAAGTAGCAAGTGACTCTACTTTGCTATACTTTCCTGTGCACTTTTTCGTACATAGTGTAATGTAATGTCTTGGGCCATGACAACATACGGTTCTAAGCAGTGGCCACACGGTTATTGTCCCACATTTACTCAGCAACGTATGGTCTTATCCTCTCACATCCGTATTTCGCCATATCAGCATACAATCTCCAAGCTGAACATCACCGAAGGTCTTTTCGCAGGCGACATCCTTCGGAAGGTGTTTTACAGACCCTCGCAGCTTAGGCGGACTGCTGAGTTGGAGCCCTGGCTCCGAACGAAACCGGTTCCAGAGCCACCTCTGCAAGCCTTAAGAAGGTGCTGTGTGTCGAATCTCGATGGATCGTCGGTGCTGCAGGAGCACATGCTTTGCGTGATGAATTCCTGGCCAGAGCCCCAGACTTGCTGCACCCACAACACCAAACGCATAACAGCCATCGTCCTTAGGAGCCAGTATAGGAGTTTATGCTGTGACATACACCGTGTTTCAGCTTATAGGGGACGTACTCGGCGTTTCTCACTGTTTCTACCACTGTTGTTCCTGCTGTGCAAGTGGATTCACGAGCGCTTGCTTGGGCTGCTTTGCGAATGTGGCCCAGGTAAACAGGAACCCGAATAAGAAGCAGCTGGCGATCGACGACCACTGCGACTTTTTGTCGGCGTCTCTTGGCCGAAAGGGTTTTTGAATTGGAGGTTGTCCAGCAACAGCCGCGAGCAACTCCCAGGTGTCAAAGCAAGTTCCAGATCTCTGTTACATTTCACCTTACGAAAGAAGTTCGAAAGCCGAAGTATGCCGCCTTGCGCCTTGTTGTTTTCGGGCCCATCCCGATAAGTGCTGTTCGATCTTTTTCTCCCAAAGTCTGAATGTCGTTGGGCTCACATGAACCGAAGCAGCTCGAGACTGGGTGATTTTGTCCTGGTGCGGTTTGTTGGTGTTGCCAGGGTCCTGTCGCGGATGCCTCCTTTAGATTAGAAGGTCTAGGGCCTACTGCAAACCCTGCGACCAAGGACCGTGAAGGAGATTGCGGCACCTTGCGCAGACGTTCCCGAAGGCAACATTAAGACAGCATTCGGGAGCTGAGACTCGCTGCAGCCAATAGGCCTATGTAGATATGTGTGTATGTATGTATATATATATATACATAAAAGGGGTTGCCTCTAACACTAACTAGCACCTCGTCGTTACAAGCCTTGTGCAGACCTTAATTCAACCCTTAACCCGACCTTAAAGCAACCCTTAACCTAGCCTCTCCAAGCCGTAAAGCAACCCTAAACTTAGCGTCCTCCAAGCCTTAAAGCAACCCTTAACTTAGCCTTCTCCAAGCCTTAAGCAACCCACGGCTCCCCGGCTGAAGGTTGTACTACGATTTTCACTGAACTAGGGCTCGTTATACAATGCTTCAGCCCGGGGCCGGGTAGTCCAACCCTTAACTCCCGAGATAAGGGTTGTACTACGGGTCCCCGGCTAAGGCAAGGGTTGTACAACGATTGTCCCTGAACCAGGGCTCGTTATACAATGCTTTGGCCCGGGCCGGGTAGTACAACCCTTAACTCCCGAGCTAAGGGTTGTATAAGGTTTGTACTACGCTACGGGTCGTTAAGGGTTGCTTTATGGTGCCCTTAAGGGTGGCATTTGGAGCTCCGGAATATATACATATATACATATACGTATATATATGTGTATTTTGAAATAAACACAAAACACACACACACACATTTCTTGTGTATACACACATATGTAGATATATGTATGTATATGTATATATATATATATATAATGTATGTATACAGAGAGAGAGGTATGTATATATGGAAAGCTGAATTTTGCCACCCGTGGCTCCTTTGTAACAGTCTTTCGCTTCGTCCGCACGCAGGGCGAAGAGGCTAAGGTGACTTAGATGTGTGTGTGTGTGTGTGTGTGTCCATCCCTGTTCCGAAGGGCCGATTGTGTGTCATGCAGGGGGGCAGTGGACATTCTGGAAGGCACTGCCCAACGAAGACCTTTCCAGTTTGTCGTGATATGGATTGGGGACGCTCAATCCACGTACCTGCTTAGTTTTTACAAGTCCTTTCCGATGGCACGGGGGCCAAGCCACAAACCCCTTTCCGAGCAGTGTTTGAGTGAGGGCTTGCATTGGTCAGTTTCTTACTCAGTTCCTGTTCAAGAGTTTGCCTGTGAATGCGACAGTCATGAGTGAGGGTTTGCACATGTCAGTCTTACATGAGTGATTCGAGTCTGTCCTATGGTAGTACTTCAGATTGTATGTTCTGACTTTCTCGTGCAGCCTCTGACTTTCCCTGACAGCTGCTGACTTTCCCTGACAGTATGCATTGACAGATCAGACCTGCGACACGATGTGTCAAGTGTGCTTCACGACGGCATTCCCTATGGGCGCCGTGTCTCCCAGAGGTAGCTCTGGCGTTGACTTTCCCGATTGACTGTATAAGCATTGGATGACTTTCCCTGATTCTATATCCATGCTTGCAAGCTGACTTTCTCAATGAGCCTTCACCGAATGCTTCTACCGAACTCTGAATGCTGACTTTCTCATTGACTGTCTATGATCAAATCGACTTTCCCGAATCTGACTTTTTCGCTGACTTGTCGCAGGTCTTTGGCTACAAATCGAGTTTCTGAGCTGTACTTCTGGGTAGTTGCTGATCAGTTTGCCATGGATTCTTCAGGAAAGAGACGCAGTACCCGCACATCAACCCCTCCCCCTCCTCCCCCACCTCCTCCTCCCCCTCCATCCTCCCCCTTCCCCCATCTCCCTGTGCCTCCCCCTCCCACTTCCGCCCCTGCCCCTGCCCGTGGTACCACAGCGAAGTGGATTCCACCCCCCCCTCCCCTTCCCCCTCCCGCCTTCCCCCCGCCACCCCCCACTCTTGCAGTTTGCCCAGCGCCTGCCTCATCTTCTTCTTTGCCGGTCCCTTCTGCATCCGATGTTGGAGCGAGAGCTACAGATGTAACTCCTACTTTGATTGCTGCACGTGCTGTAAATGATCGGCAGATTCCGCAGCAAGAGGTTCCCCCTGCGATCACTCTTCATGCAGACGGCACAGGTTTCCGGTTGTCGTTTCGATCGGTGGCTGATTTCGCTGAATACTCAGCGATCATGGCAGCAAACTTGACACATGTCCGAGGCCACAGAGATGTGTATGCTGGCCTCAACAATTTGCTTGACATTCAGCAGTCTGTTGTTTCTCAACGGAATCAGTCAACAGCATCTGTTCAGAGCCAGCAGTCAGCCATCACGTATCAAACGGATGATTCAGCCCAGCCAACAAAGCGACTTCGGCAAGTTCCTGGAAGTGAAGTTTCTCTCGTTGCAGATCCTAACAGCATTCGACTTCGTGCAATTTGTGATCAGATTCCTGGTACTCATGCAGATCGCGTAGGGTGGCAGCTCAGTGCGGACCAGACTTACGTCTTTCGAGTTAGACCTTTGCAAGACTCGTATGAGCATTTTGAGAATCGATCTCTTCTCAAAGGGCATGTGGAAGTTGAGTGGGAGCAAGATTCAAACTTCTTCGTGATTCCTGAACTTCGTGGGTTGGAAGTGCGAGATGAAGAAGCGAAGCTGATACGCGTGTATTCATCTAGCTTCAATTGGGTCGCATTATACCCCATGTTTACTGCTCTACGTCACTTGATCAGTTCCAGCCCTGGCCGTATGAAATCGGCATGTGAGATCTCGGCAAAGGTACCGGCCAATCTTGAGTTGCAGGTTCCCAGCTCTCTGATGCAAAGCACGGCGGACTATCTGATCAGCCTGTTAGGTCTTCCTCCCCACGCTGTCAATTCGACAGCATTGAAGTATGTCTCTCAGGCAATTGCAGCAGCTGACCAAGCCGCAAACATTCATTCTGTGGAGCTTCGTTCTTTGTCGAGTTCGTGCAAGTGCTTGAGCATCCACTTCACCCACTTTGAGAGGACCATGATCAGGTCGCATGCTTCTGCAGCAAGGATTGCTCGTTCTCCTGTTGCACACAACACAACAGTGGCAGCGGCTGCATCAATCCTTCTTGAGGGAGCGATCCGACCTTGGTGAAATGCTAGTGACAGCAAGTGGTCCCCACCAATTTCCTTCTATGCTAGGGCTCACACTTCAGATGCAGATCAAGCACAAGAGGCAGCGGCCAAGTACGGTGGCATTCTGAGTGAGCGTCCGGTGTGCATTTTCGGACATGCATTTAATCGTCAAGGATCCCTCACACCTCCCCATTCAAGAATCCCCATGGGAGGGGTCGAAGGTGACCATTCCTGCAGCTACATTCGTGATGTTGCCCGTGCCAAAGATGGCAGATGGGTCTTTCGCTCTTCATGTTTCATCCCGGAAGCGCTTCTTGTTTTTTGGAGGGTCTGAGTGCAACATGCTGCTTTGACCGGCCACGTCTTCAAGTCTCTTCCGTTGTCACCTGCTTTGCACGTTTACATGTGACGAAAACCTGCCAGTTAAGATTGCGAGCTGTGCCAGCAAGGGAAGTGCAAGTGTATTGCAAGGGACGTGCAAGTGTACTGCAAGTGAGAAGAGCAAGTGTGATGCAAGAGTTGTGCAAGCGATGTGCAAGTGTAGCAGTTCGGCAGCAACTTGAGCAGACTTGTTTGCCTACGGAGCCTTTTGATTCGAAGTGTCGTTAGTGATTCCGCGTATTCAGATTTGTTGATAGATCTGAAACCATGGCATGGAATGGGCAGTGGGACAACAGCACAGGGTACGGGAGGTCCCAGCAATCGTGGGGTCAGCACCGCTATCAGCCGTATAGCTCGGGAAGTTGGACTGACCCCAACCTCTCCAAGTCTGCACCTGCTAGTCAGCCACCTCCACTACCTCCGCCTCCTCTTTCTTCGGCACCTTCATCTTCGCCGTCTACTCCCATGCCATGTCATCAAGGTCCTGGTCTTGTTCCTGCACTACCGAATGGATGGGCGTCAGATCGTGATCATTATGATTCAACGGTGCTTCATGGGTTGTCCTTTCGTAAGTCCATCGAAGCCACCCCGTGGTCGCGGAAGAAAGGGATCGCAGGAAAAGACCCACTCAGCATTCCTGTTCAGGAATTCCTGTTTCATGGAGTCTCAGATTGGCGTCTTCGAGCATTGAGTCATGGCAAGTTTTTCAGTGTTGTGCCAGTTGCTACGGTTGCCGAAGCAGTGTTCATGTCGCAAGTGACGAAGAACCTTCGAGATCGCAAAGTTGACATCGATGCAGTTGCTACGCATCTTTTTCAGGCCGCTAATCCATCTACAATCATTCCCAACAAGAACACGGATTGTGCAGCTCTGTTTCAGCCGATGGTTGACAAGATCGTTCAGCTCATGTTTGACAACATGCCGGTGTCTGCAGGCGTCGATCAATCTCAGAAGTTTCTTCAAGTTACGGAAGAGCTCAATCGCCGCCGTGAACAGTTACAAGCCGCAGGACTTCCCGTTACCCCCACGAAACCCGCTTTGCAAACACAGCTCCCGGTTGCCTCGCAATCTAGTGCTCCGTGTCCACAATCCGTGACACCACCGCAGACTTGGGAGAGTGACCTCAAGCGTAAGATCGACAGTGTTCCTGCCGAAGCCCTGAATGATCACAAAGCCCGACTAAAGGGATCAGGAGAGGGTGACGTCGACAAGTGGATCCAGAGCTTCAAACGACCCCTAGGAAAGCGCTTTGTCGATTTTCAAGAACACATTGTGTCTGTCTCCAAGCTTGTGCAGATCAACTACGGAGGCAAGGAGAAAGCAAAACTGCAAGAACTTGCAGTAAAATTCGGGATCTCGGCGACTTTTGCATCTAGGATGGGTATCAAGAGTCTCTCTACGTGCATTGCAGCAGCAGCCTTTCAGGTTGTCTGAATTGCACACAGCCTTGCTTCCAATCAACTCTCCGCAAAGGAGATTCGGTCAGCACATGTTCTTATTACAGAGGTTGGCAAGTTCATGTCGTTTGTGCTTCAGTTCATTCCGCATGTGGACAAAGTGATGGCCATTTGGTTGCAAGGTTTTTGTCATCTGATTCTACTGTTCCATTACTCCAGGGGTACTTCGCCAGAACAACGGCTGCTTGAAAAATTGCGCAAAGCTGGAGT